GACCCCTCGTGACAGCAAAAAACAAAGAAACGTCCGCACGAACAATAGCAGTGATGATCACCATGGACAGAGCCGTGACAATTGAGTATCAGTAATTGGCAAGAGACGACCTGTCTCGATTACGCGGTTGCTGAGACCCACCAAAACGTTTGGGTATGTGGACACGCCTCAAGTCAGGCAGGGCCCAGACCAGCATCTTCCCCCCGTGGCCTCGGGGGGCTGGTCGATTCACCTCCTTCGTGATGGTAAATAGAGTGTATTATTATCACTAGACGTCAATAGAGGCCACCCTGATGGGACAACAAGAGGGTACCATGAATATCTCCAACTACCATATCCTAGACATGAAGATATCCAAAGACATCCTCCCACCATGAACCAATACTAGCCAGTTGCACTGCGTCCAAAATGCCCAAAAAGCTTATTACCACCGGAGTAGACAATGATCAGCTTGATGTCAAATGTAAGCACCTGGTAGCACTCAAGAAAAAAACCCGACAGCAGTGTTTTTGAATATCAAACACCAACCACACGGCGATATCATTCCAGACTAATGTCACATCATTTCATTAGTCAGCGCAAGTTTTCAACCTCCCATGGAAAACATAGAACGCCCACAATCAGCAGGGAAAGGGACGCGAAGCAACAAATGGCAATACGCAAGTAATGGACGATCACACGAGACTAATTGAGGCGGATCGCCCGCATATAGAAAACCTACGCGGTGGATCGACGACGAACAGACCGCAAACAGCGTGCAATGAAAAGATGTGCCACACTCAGGGAACAAGGATAAAGAAACTACAAACCTTGAAGCAACGCTGAAAACCGTTACAAGGCGCTTTCAGGGTTGAAATGAAACCTCGAAACACAAAATATACACGGCGCAACGACCGACATGTTCGTCAAACAAGCCGACGTCACAGAATTCAGAACGACCGCAACTCGCGAAACAGGGCCACGACTACGATTTCAAAAGGCGAACTCCACGCATTTTTTTTTTTGTCCTTCACTTCAAATCAGCGCTCATGGCACTAGTGCCGCTTACTCCAACCCGTGGTCACACAGAAGAGCCCCTCTCTACCCTCCCCTCCTGCGGTACTTTGCCTTCGATTTTGATTGCAGAAGAGATCAGCACTTTCTTCCCTCTGTGTACATACGAACAAGTGCTATCCACTAGGCCAGGAGCGGAAGCTTTGCAAGAAAAGCTCGCTTACGCCGGCAATGCAATCGATCAAATACAGCCAGCGGAGTAGTCAAGACATCCCCAACGCGATCGACAGTGGTTTACCTACGACATACAAGATTCAGACATGCCATAACCAAATCATTGCGCGACATGTTGAGAGAGGACAAATGAAGCAGTCAGGAAAGAAATACTCGACAAGATAGCCTTCACTCGACCAAAACAAGTAAGCACAAATGCGAAAGCAGCCAGCGAAAAAATGCCATCAATACGCAAACAAGACAACCCTCGCTAGACTCAAACGAATCACTTACAAAGCAATGCTGTGTTGTTGCTTCAACTGAGCCCGAACTTTCTCGGCAGACCCAGCTGCCGCAGCTCGGATTTGACAAACTGCGGCGCGGCACCCCAGATATTTGATTCAACAGCTCTTCCCAGGTGTTCTCTTCCTTGTCAAAACCAACCTATTCCACTTCTACATCAAACCTTGGGCCATCTTCCGACTCGGACACGTCCACGATCGCCGCCATCTGGAACTCCCCCTTCGTGAAAGCATTCTAAAAAACGTCCTTCAACTCGGACGTCATTTCGAGAGCGGCATCGGCTTAGAACCGCAAGCGCGCGACGTAGACATCTCAAACCTCACCCGACACAATGTTCTGGACTTCCCGCACATGTGATCTCTGGGCAGTGACAATCCTCCACAGCCCAGTCCAAGTCATGAGAAGCTTCGTCGTCGACTCACACCGGCGAACGCGCGCCACCAACACGTAGTCCCCCACCGCAAAGTCCGGCAGGCGCCCAACACAAGAAGACGATCGGTGTCGACTCCTACTCGCCTAAACTTTATCCAGAACTTCCTTGTGCAAGTGACACTGTGCCTCAACGACATGCTACACCTTCTGCCGCAAAGCCTTCTCATCCAGGACGTCCACCTTCCATTCAGCGCCGGTAGACGACGCCAAAGTCGAAAACGCCGTGCGCGGCGCTCTACCACACATGACGTGGTACGGCGTCAAACCGTAGCGTTCGCGTAAGGCGGTGGTCAACGCCCACTGAACAGCTGGCACCAGAGCAACCCAATCATGAGTACTCTTCCTCTCCTCCCGAATCATGGCGTAAGCGTACGAACCACCTCGCGCATCATTCGCTCGCACGTACCGTTAGACCAGGGAAAGTTGGCGACGGAAAATGTTGATCGACACCGAGTGCAGTCTCAAGGGCAGCCATCAAGTGATTTTTGAAACGGGAAGCGGTTTCTCACCCGAACCTCCGGAACACCCAAAATCTTGCACCACGTGAGGGGATGCTGCGCAGTCAGGCAGGCGGTGCATGCCCCCGCGGGCTCCAGCCAAACCCAGTTGGAGATTTCGTCCATCATGACCAAAATGTGATTGAATTCATCCTCCTCGTCCAAGCCATCTTCCCCCAGGGGGCGAATCGCTCCCACGTAGAGGCAGTCAAAATGAACAACTTCGCCAGGACGCGTGCCGTGGACGGTCGAGGCACCTTTTCCCCCGCCTTGGAGTCCATTTATTGCAGGCACTGCTTGACGAAGTCGGTGACGTGCTCTCCCATCCGAAACCAGCAAGGTGGTGACGGCGCCACGATCCCCATATTCTTTCTTCTATTGAATGGGCACAGACCATCAGTCGCACCTGCAAAGCACCCGCTTGATCTGGAATCCAAAGCACTCCACGTCCATTCATGTTTACTCGAAATAATCCCTCACCATTCACGGCCGCCGTCCCCACCGCCGTGAAAAACGACGTGGCAGGCCCGGCAAGCACGCCGAGCGTTTAAAAATACCAGGGGGCACCCGTTTGGGCGTGTAGAGGCCACCCGGCGTGGCAATCGTGAAGATTTCCTGCGCCTCCGGAGACAACGGACAGTGCCAGTAGCCTTGCTTCGGGATTCGGCATGACACCAGGAACCTTGTCTACCTTCCTGTTTGCGGCACGAAAGTCACTCACCAGCCGGTATCCCCCTTTCTTCGGAGTCGCCATCGCGGCGCTGGCCCACACGGCCCGCATGTTGAGGAACACCAAGCCCAGCGCGACAAGCGACACCATGCACTCCGCCAGCCACGCAGTCTTCATCGGCTTGTAGGTGCGCGGTCGAGCTTTCACCGGCCGCGCTCCTGGCTTGAGGGTGACCCGCAGAGGCTCGACTTTCGCGGGAGGGTCGCCCTGTCGCAAACCACGGCGGAACGCATTCCAGCGCTCACCGATGATGCTCCGTAGACGGCCCAAGTGCGGCTCCTCCGATCCAGCTGCAACGGCGGGAGAGACAGCGCTATCCAACGATGCAGACCGCGCCGATGCCTCCTCCTCAGGGCTCATGTCTATCTCGGGGCCTCGCGCCACCCAACGCTCGACCGCTGGACTTGCTCCGGGCCATTGCGCTGCTGCAGGGCATCAACGGTAAGCGTAACTCGGCGGTATTCTTTGTACGCCGCCGTCTCAACACCCATGACGCTAGCACACGAACGCGCACATGCCCCCAAGCTCTTTACACATCGATACCCAACACCTTCGGCGTCGGGTTGCCAAGAACAACCACCTCATCGTTGCCAGGCATGACCGCAAACGAAAACGGGTCCACCGACACTAACCCCCAGTTGGTGTGCAAAGCAATACGCACGGGGCAGGGTTTTCTGTGTGACCTCGAGCACGCGGCCGTCCGCGACGTTCAGCTTCCCCGGGTTCCGCATGTCCCCTACGACCTGTACATCCGGAAAAGCAGCTTGAAGCCTACTCGCGATATCTGCTATCATTGTGGTGAGCCCCGAGCCAGAGTCCAGAATCACAACAGCTTCTATCGCAGTCATGTCGGCAGCACCAGGCACCGACAAGCTCACTTGGCACCATCATTTATGCGAGTCAACCACGATTTCTTGTGAATCAAACCCAGTCATACCTCCGGGCTGGACTCCACGAAACACCGCCAGGAACGGCCCCTCATGGCCGGGTGGTACTCCCACCCCCTCAGTCGACGCTGAAAAGGATGCGGGGGCAGTGGCAGCTGACGGCGACGGGTCCAGCGGGAGGAAAGGCGTCGGGGGTTCTTCCCCTTGGAGTTCACCGGCAACAGCCCGTCCACCGACATGGCGTAGGTGAATGTTGGTGGACGATGCCCCCCCGGAGCCACGGCCTCCTGAAGGAGACTACTGAGCCTGCTATTGACCGTGAGGGCGCTGGTGCTGCTGCGCGTGCCCCTGGGCGCGGTGTGCTTGTTGCTGTTATTGGTGCTGCTGCGGCTGTTGCGGCTGCTGCGGCTGCGGTTGCTACTGCTGATATCTACGGGCATGCCCGGTGCCGCGAGAATGCCCCCCGTGCCTAGCGTGCTGGGTAGGGGCTTGGGCGGGAAACCGCTGCAATGGACAGTCCTGCGGGGCGTGGCCTGGCTTCTTGCACCTGGAACACGTAACAAGCTCGGCAGATGAAGACGCACCTGCACCGCCAGCGCCACCAGGCGCTTTCACTTTCGCCCATGTCTGTTGCTGAGACGGTTTCATACGGGCCAGTACGCCGCCACCACGCGATTGCCCACGCTGCCTGTCTGCCAACTCAACCGTGCGCCACTCGACCGCAACATCCCGTGCGATCTCAAACACTAACTCAGGGTTATCTTTCCAGCTACCTTGTATGTCGAGCTTGCTGTCCACATTGACCTTAAGGTAGGGCGGAGCCAACCCAGCCATAACTGATTTGCTGATGACAGCAGCCAGACCTTTCTTGAACGCGCCCGCGGAATCGCGGAAAGCGTTCAGCATCGTGTAGTGCTCGAGGCGACTTTGAACAGCGTTGATCCGATCTACAGCAGTAGCCTCAGTCCCCATGGTTGCCATACGAGTCACCGCAGCGGCCGCAATCGAAGGCTCAATGGTATCGTCCGTCCAGCATTCAGCATGTTTGGTCAGAGCCTAGCGCAGGTCAGTTTCTTCGAGTTCGGTGCCATCACAGTAGGTGCGCGACAGGCATTTGCGGATAGACTGGCCCAACAGTTGAGATGAAGTGAGCAGCGGGCGTTTGATGGACTGCCCACTGTTGCAAAGACCCATGCTTCGCTCGTACTCGTTGTACTGCATATAGAAACGCAAGGACAAAGCTCTCGAAAAAGTGCGTCGATACTCAGGCGGTTTGGGCCCATTGCTCGAGACCAAATCGGTAAACCCACCCTGAATCGCACCGAACTCTCCAGCAGAACCTTGCTGCCCGCCAAGTGCCCCCTTGCCCACATTGGAGCGTCTCTGGGCCATCGCGCCATACGATGCCCGGGCAGATTGAGAAAGCAGCTCCGCGAGAGATTAGCACAGCAGCTCCCCCCAGCCTAGGTTCGCACTGGGTGCGGCGACAAAACGCGGAGGAATAGCTTGCATTGCTGTCGTCAAGAACAATTTTGACCCTGACTGACCTTGGTGGGTCAGCCTGAGATATCGACAATTGTGGATACGCCTCAAGTCAGGCAGGAGGGCCCAGGACCGGTGTTTTCCTCCCGTGGCCTCGGGGGGGCTGGTCGATTCACCTCGTTGGTGATTGTAAACAGAGTGTATTACGATCATCAGACGTCAAAAGAGGTCCCCTCGTGTGACAACAAGGAGGTACGATGAACATCTTCAACTACCATATCCTAGACATGTAGATATCCAAGGGCATCCTCCCACAATGAACCAATACTAGCCAGGTGCGCTGCCTCTACAGGTTGAGGATTCTTACAGTACAAGAATGCCTTCGTGTGTCACGAATCATTTATTTATAACAGCCGCACATGAAAGTTTTCTGTTGATATCACCTGGTTGGTCCTTCCATGAGATGCGGCGAAGAAGCGAAGTTCGTGTGCGTATGTAGATCATACAGGAGGTGTAATACGTGGTGCCCAAGACCTTGCTTCACAGGTTCACAGGTGGAGCCTAGACTTCTGTCTGACACAGGTTGACGGGAGGAACCTGGCCGCATCACCAAGGTCTCGGGCTCTTCTCAACCTGTTAGACAAGCAAGGTCCTGAACCTGTTCTTCCTTGACACAACATGCGGTGTCGTGTACACTGCTTGCTGTTGTAGGTCGTCCCCTGCCGCGATCTTTCTTCTCTTCGTACATTGCTACTGCCATAAACAGAGACATAGAAAAAGCATTTCGACAAAGAGCGCCGAACTGAAAATCAGGAGCTCTGACCTGTCAAAAGAAAGACCTTGGGTCTAAAAAAATAAAAAGGGTTCTCCCTATCTCCTTCTTCCAACCTGCGAGGGAATGAACCATTGTGCACACCGCATTTCAGCTCCGCCAGCCGATGGTGGGTTATGTGCACCATTGTTCCCCACTGCATCACACAACAGAGTTCCAGTGAAGAAGGCCGACTTCAAAAGAGAAAAGGGCACACAACCATTCAACTGTGCGAGTGCGTCCACATCGTTCTGGGTCTCGCCGGGGTTCCATGTAAAGCGTTCAAAAGCCCAAACTCTCACCTTTTGTCTTCGCTCTCTGTTCGCGAACGTGACGAGTCACGGAGGTCGGAGCTGCATTCCTTTGTCTTCGCTCTCTCCGTCTCTCGAGTTGGTGCCTCGAAACCGTATCTTGGCTATTGTTGGAGCTCAGATTACGATTCAAACAGTCAGTGGCAATACATTTGAATATCACGACGGTACGTGATACGAACGACAAACGGACAACAATATACTTGATATATTCCTTTACAGTGGACAGTGTTCACAGAGAGAGGAGTTCTTCATCAACCTTCCCGGGGATGGTTTTTGACTGAAAACAACGTGCTTGATAGACATGTGTGGACCCGGGAAATGCCTCCTCAAAGAAACGCAACTGTTGCCCGTTCTCTAAAGCTTGCAGCTTAACTGCTAACCCTTTGTCTCATTCAAACAACCTGCCATAACAACATGAGCAGGACAGATGGTCACGCGCAACTGTGGTCAGAAGGTCAACTTCTACATGTTATTCGAATACCCGTCAATCCCCGAATGAATGACAGATCGCCGTTGAGCTGTTTCGTTGAACGTCCGTCAATCGCACTCTAGATCAAATTCGGCATCGATCAATCATCGCGTGTTGATACTCAGATATACGGTGCGCGCACAACGGAGATCTTTGTAGACCAATGATCGTGCATGGATCTTACAGATACAAAATCATTAAACCGTGATGTACACGCACATTGATTGAGGCCACATCCTGTGGGCAATGGTCCACTCCACTCGCGCAATTCGCATTCTTTACCCTGCAGCAAAGTAATTCCACCTGCAACGTGCTGCGGTAGCCTCAACTCCACGCCACACTTCCTTGCGTGTTGGACAAACCTTCACCACCAGAGGGTTGAGGCAAGCGTACATCAGCGTTGAGAACAGCTTGAGCGTCAATAACTTTCTGAAGCCAGAATTTCAATGAAGAAAGGAGTGTTCTCGCCGTGATCATCATCGGCTTTCCCATCGTCTTCATGGACGGTCCGCCGTCTCCCTCGGCTTGTCGCACGCGCCTTCTTGATGTCGTTCTCCACGACCAGAGGGATGGTGCAGCAAGCCTGCACCAAGCCTTCCCTTTTCTCTTGGGTATGTCATCGAATACCCACTCGCCGTGAACGCGGTCGCCTGTAGCTGTCTATCATTTGATGTCCTCGCTTCAAGTGCTTATTACCTGTGGTGCAATCTATACGGCTTGTGGAGAAAGCCCTCTTTGCACCAAGCCTTCCCTTTTTCTTTTTGGCCCATCATCGAATACCCACCCGCTGTGGACACGGTCGCCTGTAATTGTCTTTCATTTGATGTCCTCTCAAGTGTCTACCTGTGGTGCAATCTATGTCGCTTTCTATGTTATCCGTATAGATCATCAATCGTGTCTGGTGTAAAATCGATGTGGGGTAAATTCTAGGTAAGTGTTTTTTTCCAGTATTTGAAATTGAGCATCGCCACACGTGTTACCCATCACACCGTTCCGACACAACTACTTTTAGGAAACACCGACACCCCAACATAAAGGTTTTGTTTCGTGGTTCGAACCATGGATTACTATGTAGCATACACTTGTCACTTACCGGCAAAGAAATACTTGGTCTGTAACCGCGATACCTAAACTCGGCGGCGTACCGTTAAAAACAAGACAGTATTCATAAACGAACAAAAACGCGTGCCGGGCGCTCGTTCAACAAGCAAACACGAGCAAGCTCGACCGAACAATTCAACACAACGCAAACGCTTGACTTCAGCAAAAACACGTGTTTCATGTTTTCCATGGTGTTATTGTACAGACACTTTAGTCAGCGAACATCCATTTTGGTTAAGAGTGGGAGAGAGGGGGAGGTGATACTGTTGTTGTTGTTGTTGTTGACTTCACATTAAACCGTATGCCAGTTGCTAAATGCCAAAATCTAGCAAAGACTCTCGGCCCGTGGTCACGAAAGTGCTGGAGCCATCTGAGGATCTAAAGAACACGCACACGTAGCAAGAAAAAGGTGTACAAGAGCCCGAAGAGGTACTACTACACCTATATAT